TCCTTTTCTCTCAGACGTCAGCTTGAACCACAGTCATCTCGGTTCATTCATAAACAAAAATACTAAAGTGTTTATTGTTAGTTTGCAATGGCGAGGCAACATGTAAACAGCGAGCGTCCACTGCTAATTGATGACTGAGATGAAGGGTGTGGCGGCAGTCTTTGTGACGAAGAGGAGGAGGGAGGTGGGAGGAGGGGGGTGGGAGGGAGGGGAGGGGGAGGGGAGGTGGGGGAGGGGGAGGGGGGAGGGGGAGGGGGGGGGAGGGAGGGGAGGTGGGGGGAGGGGGGAGGGGGAGGGAGGGGGAGGTGGGGGAGGGGGGTGGGAGGACGTGGGAGGAGGAGGGAGAGGGCCGACCAGTGTGTATTTCCATGTATTCGTTCGTGTTCTTTGATGGCTAAAATGATTCTTCTACTTATGCTGACGTGAATGACAACTAAATTATCATAATATTAATAAAGACAGTTTGTGTAACGGGTAAAAATATGGAGTTAACTTATATTCTTCATTGAAAAGACATTATGAAGGAAACGAAATGGTAGATTACTCGAGTAATATTTTCACGTAACATATATTCCCTTTTCTGTTTCTGTCTCCTTGTGAGTCTACTGTTCCCGGATTTATAGACAGAGGTACGTGTATGTGTCTCCTCATTCACACAAGATTAACTCAACTTTTTTTTTCAGTACAGCGCAAAGATAAACCCTTATTACCTAAAGTACAGAGCAAATTACTAACTCAGAAAGACAGCATCCTCGGTAAACTTTTCAATGACGTTATAATAGCGGGAAGGAGTGACGCTAACGATGATGTGGTCGAGGTGTCATCTATTACCAACAAGAGGGTGTTTACGAGTGCCTCCATAATGCAGGCAAATAAGGGACGGTGGGGTGCTAGGGGCTCCTGCAGCGTGGCCCTAAAGAGGAGGGTGATATCACGGGGCGGTTCAATCAGGTGAGTGGCGGGCGTGAGGAGGAGCCGAGTGATATCACCACCGTGTTGAACCCCCTCCCCTCCCCATCTCCTGCCCTCTCTCTGACCCTCCCTTTCATCAACTATCCTCCTTCCTTCCCACCCCTATCCTCTCCCTAATCCTCCTCCTTCCCTCCCTCTCACCTACTATCCTACCATCCTCCCTCCCACTCCTCCTAGCCTCCTCCCTCCTAAATGAATAAGTAAACACTGTATATGAAGGAATTAACAAACAAATGAACAACACAGAGAGCAAACACGTCATCCTATCCAAAGGAGAAAAAAAATTATATAAAAAATAACTCAAAATAAGAAAAAAAATATAAATGATAGATAGACAGAAAGACAGATGGATGTTCAGTAAAATAGACACACACGTCTCTAAATGGTTCAGCTTGTACACAGACAACGCAGGTATACCGTGTACATAGATGGGGGCAAGCATACGGTATATAGACAATTACCAACGTATACCTATATAGACAAGTGAGGGTATACTAACAGTGGTAAAGAGTAAGGCAATTCGACCCAGGAACATCCAACAGAGCCATCAGGTACTGTACGTGTTACCAGTAAACATTTTGTGCAGGACGTAACATCACAGACGTGGTTTACCGCCTCACACGGCCACGTCGGCATCACAAAAGACGTTCTACAGTGACCTCGAGCGCTTCAACATGTCCCCAGCGACGCCCACTCATTAGGGATGTTAGCATAGGACATAAGCGTCTCGGGGATGTCCCATAGCGTCGTGGTCACCTCCGGGATGTTCTGCAGTGATATCTCCAGCGATGGCGTAACCCCAGGGATGTCTTCGGGTGATATCAACGCCTCATGAATACCTTTCAAAGGTCAACGACTTAATTAAGAATGTTTTGCAACTCTACCGGCGCAGCAGGGAACCTAGATCAGTGATGCCTGTGTCTTAAATAACGTCAGTCCCTTAAGTCGATAGCGAAATTGACGTCATTCGAATCACCCACCAGAGTTCAGACGTAAATCCTTCAGGGGACATCTTTAGGGTTGTTGTCCATGTGTCAGGGATAGTTTACGGAGTCACTGGCTAACTGGTGTTATGTTGACACGGCGATGACGCTGAGAGATGAACTGCAGCATCAGGGACGCCTCTCTCGTATCCTTCAGACAGTAATACTCGAGAAATGTCTTACACAGACTATACGATGTTTCGGGTGTTACATAACGTCGACAACTTGGGGGATGATCTTAGCCACCAACGTCGACACCTTAGGAGATAGTTTTCAAAGGCGTCGACACTCCGAGGAAGATCTATATCGACGTCGACAGTCACCCTCACGAGATGGTTTTCACACCGACGCCCCGAGGAGGTTGTCCCAGACCCACCCAGACTCGTCCCCATGAGCGGGTCTGCCTGGCGTGTGGGTCCTCGAGCATGTGGGCAGAGGATCATGGGGTGGCGCTGTGTGATTCAGACGCCTTGTTTACCCGTCCTCCCGGGATGAAGTCGACGTGTTGGATAATCCCCAGAAGATGTAGAGGATTATGGGATTACCTTAACAACCTGATGATGAGAAATCCCTTCTCTCTCTCTCTCACACACACACACACACAGTACCAACCTCTCTTTCTCACTCTTCTTTCAGTAAACCTTTCTAAACACGTTCTGTTCTTCCATCTAATAAGCAAAGATTCAGACAACTTTAACAGCAAATCAACCCACTTTTGTCTGATCAATATATGACATTAAAGAACATATAAAAATCTACTGATATAATAGTCTATCTTTTTGGGTCACTTTCCTGAGACGACGATAGGGGTGACGGTGGCGCTGGTGTCGACTTAGAGCAGGAAGCACTTGGGCTTATCCGGGTCACTACAGCCACTGGCAGCTAGAACACGTAAATTACCAATAGGTGAAAAGCCCCACACCTATGGCTCTATATCAGAACTTTGGGACATACACTCAGAATATTGCTGCTGCTGCTGCTGCTATTACTACTATACTGTTTGTGGTGTTGACGTACGAATAAAAGATTACATACCAAATGATACCACTAAGACGATTCTCAAACAGACGACTGACGATTAAACCTAACCTAACCTAACCTAACCTAACCTAACCTAACCTAACCTAACCTAACCTAACCTAATCGCCTAAATGGGATGACAAAAATCGCATAAAGCAAACCATCGACCTACAGTGCCATTTCCACGAAGCATTGAAAAAGACAACACTCATTATTTAGCACCATTCAACTTGCACATCCAGGAATCCCAAATCAATCACATGAACCGAGCTAACGCGTACTGTACCGCCGCTTCCTCATCACTGTGTAAACATGACCTGAAGCTGGATGGGTGCACGAGTCATTACCCCGCCGAAGGAAACAGATTTTTATTCCAAACCCTGTCAGAGTCTGGAAGCATCACCGTTACCGTAAAGTGATCAGGCTTTAGGGAGGGACCATTAAAGTAAACACACAGGGGGGTTACTGGGGGTGAGATATCTTGACAATTATACGCTTGTTAGGGTGTCCACAAAAACTGGCTTGGTGCGTCCGTCTTCCTCGTCAGCCCTGGGAGTAAATTAGGCACGCGTCTGCCCCGACCATGAAGACAGGCCACGCTGACGAACACCTCTACCACACCCAGCTACTGACGGGCCACACGTACCAGCTACTGACGGGCCACACGTACCAGCTACTGACGGGCCACACGTACCAGCTACTGAAGGGCCACACGCAATGCTTACCGAAGGCCACACGTACCAGCTACTGAAGGCCACACGTACCAGCTACTGAAGGCCACACGTACCAGCTACTGACGGGCCTCACTCATCAGCTACTGAAGGGCCACACATTAGCTACTGATGGCCACACGTACCAGCCACTGAAGGCCACGCACCAGCCACTGAAGGCCACACGTACTAGCTACTGAAGGCCACCACTGCACCAGCCACTGAGAAGGCCACACGTACCAGCTACTGACGGGCCTCACTCACCACCTACTGAAGGGCCACACGTACCAGCTACTGACGGGCCACACGTACCAGCTACTGACGGGCCACACTGGATGAAGGGATCAGGTGAAGGGGACGGGCTGAGACGAACGGCAGATAAGTAACGGTAAGTTCTCGCTTCTTGACTTCTGCCCCCATTACCCATTCCCTTCCTCCTCTACCTCTCCCTCCCAACCCCCCCTCCCTCACTCACCAATCCCCCTCATTCCCCACTCATCTTCTTCACCTCTTTCCTCCTCACACCTACCTTCATTCCGTCCCTCCTCCTTGGGCCTCACCTGACACCTGCCACCATCTGTGGTGTGTTATCGCGACGACAAAAAACTGGCAGCTGAGGAGGCATACCTGCACCACTGACACACGTCCCCTGTAGACCTCTTCTTTCCTCCTTCTTCCCCTACCTCTCCCTTATTTCCTCCTCCTCCTTTAAACCTTCTCCTACTCCCCATGTGGTACGGGGAGATCAGGGTCAAGAATCCACTAACTGGTCACCTAACAGATTTGCCCCGCACGAGGATTAGTTTATTGGGTTCATGCTCCTAAGAGGTCGTGTCAGGTCAAGGGTTCAAAGCTGACAAGATACTGTGTGTGTGTGTGTGTGTGTGTGTGTGTGTGTGTCTAGGCCCCCAAAAAATTCGTGTCAGGACAATTTTCACCCCTAAATATGACCCCATGAAAACAGTGCATCACCCATCGAGAACAGAACCCAGACCCTTCCGATATAATAATAAAAAAATATATATATAAAAACTAGACACCCCAGCGTATACCAATTTACGATTAACCACTTTAACGATAACCTAACCTAACCATCACAGGTAACATTAGGTTGTTTAATCATCAGGTAAAATAAACTAAGGGTGCCTAATCTTCACATCAGTAACAACTTTAACATAAGAAACACAAAATTTCTTTACTACCCCTTTAAACACATGACAACACTACCAACAAAACACTTAAAAGACAACACCAACAAATATCCCAGGTGTAAAAATAAAACCACATTAAAGACAAAACAATTAGTGAGATTTACCTGCTGGAGACCCACTTGCCCCGTAGGTCAGGAGGCATAGGGGCGGAGAGTCGTGGGCGGTGAGAGGCCTGGTGGAGGAGGGCGGCACAGGTAGGGAGAGCGGCGTCATGGACCAAGTTATTAACCAGGTGAGACTCGCACGCCCCGACCACACACGCTGACCCGGGGAGATGACGCACCATTAACATTAAAACACTGAACGTAATAACATTTAAATAGTACAAATTAAACATCGTATACTAGTGTTAAATGAGTACTGTAAACATCTCAAGTTCTCTCATACGTTAAACATCTTACTACACTATAATTAAATGTTTATATTGCGTTATTATCAAGTTAAATCTAAACATATACTAGTAAACATCTTTCATTAGTTAAATATACATGTTGAATACCTTTAATTCTTCACTTATATATAAATACACACAATAAGCAAGGCACACACACACACACACACACACACACACACACACACACACACACACACACACACACACACACACACACACTTACCCACAAACGACACCTAACTTCGGAAATAATCTTGACCATAGAGTAAACAATTATAATACTACCTCGCCACAAATCTTGCTCACAAAACTATAATTTTATCCACAAAGAGAGAGAGAGAGAGAGAGAGACGTCCCATGACGTGAGGAGGAACGGAGAGGAAGATGTACGCACCGTCGTTGTGGTCGAGTCTTACCTTATATTAAGTAGGGATTTTAGACCTGTAATGACTGTGTGGATTAGCTGTGTCATGCGCTGTTTCATTCATATGAGCCAAGTCACGTTGGGAATGAGAATGCAAAGGCAAGCTTTTTGTGTGTGTGTGTGTGTGTGTGTGTGTGTGTGTGTGTGTGTGTGTTTAGGTTAGGTTGGGTTAGCTTTACGGTGTTAAATCATCAGATGCAACACGCTGGGGTGTCTAATCTTCAGGTGATCCGATATGACTACAAAACATAGGCTCAAACCACAGTAAGGTAATACACCCAAAAAGGTTCCTCATTAACCACCCAAGATCCGGTTAACCAGTCCTTCTAATGACCTCAGTCCCAATTAAATCCCGAAGGAGTGACTGACTGTGTGCACAATCCTATAAGACACCTTTTGAGGCGTCCCAATTAAACAAGGTGTGTTACATAAGGTGTGCGAACAGGTAGAGGGGATCCAGGCTGAGAGAGAGAGAGAGAGAGAGAGAGAGAGAGAGAGAGAGAGAGAGAGAGACGCCATAACTGACCCCGCCATCTACAGTGAAACCCCCATATTACGGACTTTCCATAATAGTTCGTTAAATAGAGGTTTCACTATATATACAACATCTTAAAGGAATATTTCACTATGAGATCTAACGTCCTTTTAAACATTCCTCCAATAGCGGATCAGATCAAAAGGAATTCTGACCACAGTGGCGGATCCTTTTACCGCGGAGGACAAATAATGAGTGTAAAGCGAGGGACCAGACGCGCTGGGGCCCCATCTATGGTAAATAAGTATAGTCTTAGGCTGTCATGTCACGATCTACAGAACAAAAAAAAACGACTCGGCGGTGAGGGTTTGAAGCTGACTTGTCTCTCTGCGTGGAAATTGAGGCGGGCACATGATATATAATGTACTGTGAGGCTTTACCGACGGGGTGTTTCAGACTTGTGTGTGTGTGTGTGTGTATGTGTGTGTGTGTGTGTGTTGTGTCTCTCTCTTAGGATGTAATTCGATTAAAGAGAAACAAAAAGATGATTTTTTTATCATTATAATTAATGTATATACTGTAGGTGTGTGCGTGTGTGTTAATGACAGATAAATAACATTGGATCACATGAAGATTACACACTCCCATTTTACTTCACCTGATTATTAAAACACATCATTGCTAACCTAACCTAACCTAACCTAACCTACCCTACACTAACCTACCCTACCCTAACCTAATATTCAGTGATCCAAAAAATTCTCCGATTCTAGTTTTGCACCTAAAGAACTTACTTGGGAGGGAGGGGGGGGGTGAAGGGACAGGTGTGTGAATAGGGACAGGTGTGTGAATAGGGACAGTAGTGAGAATAGGGATAGGTGTAAGAATAGGGACAGATGTATGACTAGAAACTTGTGTGGTCAACCAAACATCAGTATGCACGGCTGTAGACTATAAACACACTTTATCTGAACTAACAATGGTGGTGTAAAGACAAGCCTTAATTCAAGCTGGTTTTATAGAGAAGGTCTGTGTTATTTACAGCTTTGAGTTATCTTAACATACGTCCCATAACATTTTACAAACAGGAGGAGAAGTGATATTTAGAAAACAAATATAAAGACAGTTGTGCCGATTATGTTCGATGACGGAATGGGGTGGAAGGGGAGGAGGGGGTCAAGTGAAGATTAACCCCCTTCAGATTAGTTTACTAGATAAGATTAACCAACTCTAATCTAATCTAATTTCACTGTTAAGATTAAGCACCCTAAAAGAATAATCTATCATAACCTAATTCAACTAATTTAACCTGACTCCCCCAAGTGGTGTTAGGGTGAGAGAGAGAGAGAGAGAGAGAGAGAGAGAGAGAGAGAGAGAGAGAGAGAGAGAGAGAGAGAGAGAGAGAGAGAGAGAGAGAGCACACAATTGTCTTTTAAAGGAGCAAATCATTCTACTCTTCCCCCACCCCCACACTACCCTGCCAACCTCTCTGATCATGTATGACGTATAATAATTGCGCATTGTTTTGGCTCTATGAATTAATTACGTCACAGTGATTGAGTATACTGATTAAACAAAGCATATAAGACATACTCTTCAAACACCCAATAGTGAGTTAGTATAATAGTTATCCAAGACGTATCTACACTGTCTTATTCTTAAAACGTATGTCTATATATGAACCGGGGAGTAATCCAACGTATGTCTTAACCATCCATCATTAAATGCTTGGATTACTCTGACGTCACTCACCCAGGGTTACCAACTACACAATTTAGTTATGTAGTGACCGACAGCATATAGCTATTAGGTGCCATATACTGTGAAGTAAAGACCACCGGGGGATCAAATATGCCTTAAAGGAGTGAGTGAGGGGCTGGCAAGATCCTATATATGGTTACTTATTGAGGTAAATCTTAAAGACTTCATTCACCCAAAAACACTGACCGAACATAGATGGTTAGAGTGTGTGTGTGTGTGTGTGTGTGTGTGTGTGTGTGTGTGTGTGTGTGTTGTTACGTTAGCAGCGGTAGGAGGGATGAAGTGGGTGGCTGTGTGTGTGTTCCTCCCTCCCTCTGACTGTCCTTCCTTCCTTTCCCACTTCTCAACCTATTTCCTTCTCCCTCAATCGCGTTCCCTCCCTCCCTCCTCACATCTCTCCCTACCTACCTCCTCGTGTCGTGATGCCACTCACTACCCTTGACACGTGTCAGTGACCTCGTCTGACCTGTCACCAACGATCATAACAGCGCTGGAGGCTGATGTTGACGCCCAGTGTGTGTCGCCATGTTCCAAGTTAACCACGAATGATAGGAAGGTATTCAGATACACTTGGGTACGCGACTGTGTGTGTGTGTGTGTGTGTGTGTGTGTGTGTGTGTGTGTGTTTGAGTTCGAGTGTGTGAGTGTGTGTGTGTGTGTGTGTGTGTGTGTGTGTGTGTGTGTGTGTGTGTGTGTGTGTGTGTGTGTGTGTGTGTGTGTGTGTGTTTGAGTTCGAGTGTGTGAGTGAATGAATGTTTCAGAGTGTGTGGGGGAAATGAAGGAGGGAGGAGGGCGAAGGGAGAAGGAAGAGGAAGGAGGGAAGGAAGGAAGAGGAAGGAGGGAAGGAAGGAAGGAGGAAGGAAGGAAGAGGAAGGAGGGAAGGAAGGAAGAAGGAAGAAGGGAGATGGGAGGTGTGGGTGGGTCCAGTATATGATCCTGGCCGCAGATGCTCCCACACGCTCCCCCCGACGCCCACTCATCACGCTCCTGCCTCTACTATACCCGTCACTGTCAGGGTAATTACTTCCCTAGAGCTCCATCATCATCATTATCATCATCATCAAGAAGGAAATAGATTGTGACTCGAGTTTGATGAATCCAGTTGTCGGGTTCCATAAACAGTTTAAAAAAAAAGTAACCCAATGATCGGGATTCCTCTTCGTAATAGACGCCAGCCGTTAAAGTTCGGATATCGTAAAGTTCGGATATCGTAAAGTCCGGATATCGTAAAATCCGGATATCCTAAAGTTAGGATATCGTAACGTTATCCTCAGCCATTCGAAGTGATTAACGATAGAATACTGTGACGGTACCTTCTACAATATATAAACGGGGGATGAGTATCAGCTTTTAAGAGTTTTAATAGTTAGTGTCCAGTACAGTACCCTAAGGAGGCTTGATGTGCTATTGGTACACACACACACACACACACACACACACACACACACAGAACTTAACACTCGTCTATATCTGACTAAAGACACAAATTCTAATAAATTCATAAGCTAACATTTCCCCTTAAGATCAAAAGACGTGTATATTCAACTGGTTCGATTAATCCACGTAAACAGAACTGAACCACAACACCACCACAAAGATGCACCGAGATTTTACATCGAAATACAGAAAAGTCTCTCGTATTTCCACTTAAGATGACAAAAAAAATCACTTAAGAATCTTTCCATGAACCCTAGCCGCATGCAGTCTCGTATTTCCACTTAAGATGGCAAAAAATCACTTAAGTATCTCTCCATGATCCCTGACCGCAGTCTCTCAACCGTCCAGTGCCTGCAATAACACGTACCAATTCATCACTTTATTTTTTTTTTTTATAATTCTCACCAAACAAGCCCATGATCCACCAAGCATCACTCAACCTCAATCCTCATTCATACCGTGACGCATTATATCACACATCACTGCCCGCTGACATCTGCTGACATTACTGTTCACTGTTATCTCTTGACATTACTGTTCACTGACATTCTGCTCACTGACCTCTGCTGACTTACTGTTCACTGACTTCTGCTAACACTTCCCTCTCCCTCCCCTAAACGGATCTGACTTTTCATTCTCCTTCCTTTCCTTTATTCTGACCCTCTTCCTTTATTCTCCTCCCTTTTTTATTGCCTCTCCTTCAGTTTATTCTCTTTCCCTCCTCCTCTTCCTCCCCTGTTCAATTCTTCCAAACATCGTCTATTTCCTAA